ACAAAATGACTTCCCATCAGAATACACCTCCATGTTTGTTTACTACATTCAATTAGTCTACTCAATTCTGAAATTTTTATGATGAAACATAATGTTTCAAAACCAAACCATCCTTGATTTTTAAGATTTGTTTGCAAGGAAAAATTTATGCTATAATCTAGACAGTGTTGTGCTATTATATCAGATGAACCTTCCAATATAACCAAGTATTGACTCACACACAAAATCAAACTTTTCCATTGAAGAGTCCTATTTCTAAATGAATCTTGGATTAATTGTTCAGTTCTGGGGATTCATGACTGAAGTCTCTGCTTCTTACTTTGTTATTTGTTGTTGGCTATCTTGATTATGTTCTATATAATTTATAAAAAATAATCTCTTGTATGTCTCAATATATATGCAAAACTTCAATTAAAATAATGATATCTAGATGACTTGAGACTATTGATTATATCTATAGTTTTATAATAATAATGGGCATGCACATAAAGGATAAAATTGGCATCAGTCCTATTGGACAACTTAAAATTGACTCACAGACTTTGTCAAGCATTCTACTAGACCTTTTAAAAGGAAAGAAAGAACTGGGCTGTTAAGACCTGGCACCGAGGGACATGATGGAACCAGAGCAGGTAAGCAGCTACCCTGGCTTCGGGGGACCAAAGATTTGACCACTTTAATGCTTTCTATTGAAAGATTAATGTTCAAGGCTGGGGGGGGGGTTGGGTGATGAAATAAAATTTATATTTTAAGGTAGGAAAAGAAAATACTAAACATAAGATTCTCTCCCTGTGTTTGCGTGGACCTTCTCCCTCCCTAATGTGCAGCGTGTGCCTGCATTACACATTAAGCAGAGTTCCTCCAAGATGGGAGTGCCTGCTCAACCATAAATACTGTTTTTTCTTTCTTTTGATGCTACCAATGCAACTTCTTAAAAGAATGGTGTATTTTCCCAGCTACGTAGAGGGTCATGATGACTTGCTCTTCACTTTCTGTGCATTTACCTGGACTATGTATCCTTGGTGAACTTTATATAAAATAACAGTATGTCATTTTGTTGTATGATCCTTTGTCTCAAAAATGTATATGACTGTGCCTTCAACTTTTAACAGGTGGGACAGTTCTCAGAGCTTTGTCGAGAATCTGCTTCCCACTTATAATCCTGTTTGGCTTGAGTAAAATTCCCTTTTTTCTTCCTATCTTGATAGTTAACTGAATTTTTCTCAACACTCTTCTTAATAACCATATGAGGTGGGATTGGAGTGCATCCAGTCCAGTTCAGAAAAAGTGCAGAGTATATGCTCCTCAGGATGTATGAATATTATAGAACTTTCCTGAATTGAGGGGCTACCCTGGTGGCTAAGATGGTAAAGAATCCACCTGCAATGCAGGAGACCTGGGTTGGATTCCTGGGTCAGGAAGATCCCCTGGAGAAGGAAATGGCAACATACTCCAGTATTCTTGCCTGGAGAATCCCAAGGACAGAGGAGCCTGGCCAACTGCAGTCCAAGGAGTCACAAAGAGTTGAACATGAATGAGTGACTAACGGTTTCACTTTCTCCTGAATCAAGGAAGAATCAATGTCACTTTTACCAAGTGTGGAGGGCAAGGAAAATTTGCACCCAAGTGATTCGGTAGCTGAGCCTGCTTCGAAAGGCTGTGCCATTGACAATCCGTGCTGAGCCCAGAAATGTCTTTTGGACAAGGGTTTGCTCCAATAGCTGCTAAAAACAGAAACAATGACCCTTCTTTCTAAGGTTACTTAAACTGTAAACTATCAGAAACATGGGATTTGAGGCCTTCAGAAATACAAATACGAATGACATCTTGGTTTCAAGAACATAGCTCTCTGAATCCTAGGCAATAAAATGCAGTAGGCTGGTGTTTTCTTCTACAGGACACCCTTTTTAGCCTTTATGTCACTTCTGTGAAAGAGAACGCTTTCCATTTTCTCAGTGGAAGCTAGAAGATAGAGCTATCAAAGGCTACAGGGCACACATGCTGTTTTCACCTGTACAGAGTCAGCTCCCTTCTCAAGACCAGCAAGTCTGGTTGTTCTTTGGGGAGCTCCTCCCTTCTACCATGTGTTTTGGGTGAACCTGCCCCCCACTGCCAGTTCAGGGAGGTGGACTGTGATCTAGGATTAAGCCCATCAGCATACCATCAGCATATACACACCTCTCCCGAGCCCTACCTTCCCAGGCACAGTGACTGGCTTTTGGAAGACCCATGGGGCACCTTTGTTAACAAAAGTCAGGCCTCAGACTTCTTAGCAGCTGTAAGAGAAGATCAACTATTTTCTGCTGAATTTGCCAAAAGGTAAAGACATGCAGCCGTGAAGCACATAGCAGGCATTTCAACTCCACTGGGGAGACTGCAGCTGCTGAGAAGGAAGGAGGGTCTAAATAAAGTGAGGGCTCCTTGGTGATGCCATTGGAACTCCTGGTAGATTGTCCCGAGGGCAACTTCTCTCCTCCCACCTCTCTTGCATGCATGCTCAGTCACTTCAATTGTGTCCAACTCTTTGTGACTCTATGGATTGTAGCCCACCTGGCTCCTCTGTCCATGGGATTCTCCAGGCAATAATACTGGAGTGGGTTGCCATGTCCTCCTCCAGGGGATCTTCCCGACTCAGGGGTCAAACCCACATCTCTTATGTCTCCTGCATTGGCAGGCGGGTTCTTTAACGCTGAGCCACTGGAGAAGTCTTCCTCCTCTCTTACCTAAGTCCTTTTCAAGATGGATTCTTTTTGTCACTTGAAACCACAAGACTCCATATCAAGGGAAGGACTCAAGGTCAGAACCTGGGCCAGGGCAGGAAGGGGTCTGGATACCAAACCTGTCCCTTCCCATCCCTGAACTACCCATGTTGCTCTCCTTGTCAGTACAGTGGACTCTGGGGCAGATTGCATGTGGAAATTAATAACAAGTATCAGTGTGTTTTGCACAAACATGCATTTGTTTGCTGACAGAGCTAAAATGGAACTGTGGGAGCAAAGAGAATGAATTAACAGACCAACAAACACTCCTTAGTTCTGTGGGGGCCCTGCCTGTTTTATCTTCAGAGACTCTATGAACTGGGTAGTCTCATAGCCTTCCTCACTGATAGGGGACGTCTACCTGGAGAAATGAAATGTGATTTCTTTTTGTCTTGCTGTATCTCACTGTGTACTCTATTCGCTGAGCCCAGGGTAGGACAGGAAGCTGAAAGAAAACCCGAGGAGCCATAGGAACCACAGACATGTTTATTCTCTCCTGACTGGCATGGCACTCATAGCAGCAGACACTGTATTATCTCATGGCTCACCCAGCAAACGCGGCCATAATGCAGCCAGCAAGGGTGTCTCAGGTGGTGTTTATATAGGGCATTGTGCATGCGCCGTGCTATAAGTGAGCTCAGCCGTTACATAACCATGTATTTACAAACCGGGGGTGAGAGTGAGAGGCCGTGGGCTGAGAGAGCCTGACCACCGCCATCTTGGCTAATTTGTTCTTTCCCTACACTTAACAAATTCCTTTATTTTTGCTGATATACAGTTGATTTATATTATGTTGGTTTCAGGTGAAAAATGGCTTCTTAAGCCCCATAGCTAATCTTGGATGAAGGAGGATTTAAAACTAGCTAGGTTCACCTGCCTGCCGGCCCCAGCAGACCCAAGTAGGAATTGCTGAGCAGGAAGGGGCCATCCTTGGGGCTCTCCAAGGGCCCATCAGAGTGTCTGCCAGAGGTAAAATTCTTGATGAAATTTGTTGATCAAATTCACTAAGGAACCCAGACTGTTTGCTACCCACAGCTTTCTGTAATCATCCATCATGTATACCTTGAAACCCTATATAATGTTCAGCAGGAGGATATCAATCTCATTGCATCTCTGCTAAGTTGTCAATTCCTCTATTTCAGGGAACAGGTGTTCTAGAAAAAGCCTTATTAATGAGCCTCATCAGGACACATCTCAGCCTGGAGTGCTGATGGCTGTGCATCAAGAGAGACGGAGCAGAGAAAGGCTGGGAAGCAGGGCCTGATGTGAAGGTTCCCCCTCACCCACAGGTGCTGACCTCAGGCCTGGCCCACAGCCCCTCCCCTCTCATGTCCCAGAAGCAGCTGCAAAGGACATGGTGATATCACTAGGGTCAAGGAGGAGTCGAGGTCCCAGTCCTGATGATGAACTTGTTAAAAGCTCCATTTCCACAATCCTTGGTCTGGTCCTGCCCAGATCCCACCACGAGGTTGACACCTGGCTCCCTGCAGGCATGAGACACTTACCCCTCGAGTCAGAGGTGCTTAGGGTCCCAGTGACACAGACTCTCAGATCCTCCCTGTGTTTCCCTGTGACCAGCACATGGGCCCTGCAGGGGCCTGGGAAAGAGCAAAAAGGCTCCATTGTGATGTAGAGGGACTGAGGTCCCCAAGCAGTTTCATTCCCAGTTGTGAAGCACAGCCCTTTCTTAAGACAGTAGGTGATTATTAACCTTTCCTCAGTCCCCTGGCCACAGGAAAGAAATTGCGCTTCACCCACATCAGCAATTCAAAGAGAATCTGGACTGTTTTAACACAGAAGCACAAATTCATATGCCTACAAGCGAAGGTGATGCTCAAAATCATTTACAGCTGTCAAGGCACTGGCACTGAGAGATCAGCCTGAAATCAACACATCCATATTCCAGTGCCCAGAGCCTGGACCACAGAGACCAGAGAAGGTAAATACCAGGATGTGGTTTCCATGGCAACACTGATGCTAAGGAGCACCTGACTGACACGAGAGGCAGCCAGGACTTAGCCTATCATGAGAGCGGAATAAACCCTGTGTATTAGGTTGCTTTATTTCTAAGAGAAGTTAAAAATTCATGATACTTAGGTGAAATTTCCTAATGTGATGTGTTCAACACTCTTTGGGGAAAAAGAAAAGCCCTGCATCATAGGCTGACAAAGTGAAGGACACTGAAGCCCATTTCTGGATGGCTTTGCCCCAGACCAGTGATGCCGAACTCTGCCCTGTTTGATGTCTATCCTGTTCACCAGCATGGTGGTGTCAGGTAAGGCAAGGTCAAAGGTCACGGCTGACAAGCTCCGGACAGTTGCAAACCTGGGCCATCTGGCTATAGAGTCTGTTTTTGGATTGCTGAGTGATACTGCCTCCCTGAAATGAACTGGGAAGTGATTCCCATTTCACATTCTAAGATAACCTCTGCTGGAAAAAACCTTCGGACACCCCACCCCCACCATTCTACCCTCAGTCTTGCTTCCACACATGACTGCCCCTCGCTCAGAATCCCCCGCCCCAAAAACCTCTCAACCCTGGTCACCTCCCTCTGGGCCACAATTTTCATTCAGACCTTCACCAGCCCCCATCTCTGACCTTGGGCCCAGCCGGTGACCTTGGTGCCTACCTCATGGAGAAAGGCAGAGCCCTGCAGACAGACCTCCACTAGCTTCTCCCTGCCCCTACTTGCTGGTCATCGCTTTGGGGCCTGGCCCAGCCTGTGGGCTGAGGTGTCTCTCTCCCCTGGGCTGCTTGCCCTTCCTATGAGCAGTGCTCCTCTCCTCTAGCTTTTCCTATCAGGCTTCAATACTCTCAAGACTCTCCCGTTAGTAATCGTACTAGTAACCACAGTGATGACAACACTTCCCTGGCAGGTCTTGTAAGGATGTGTCCCCCACTATTCCCTCTTTGTGACCTGTCCGTCCTTCCCTCAGCCAGGGAAATTTAGTCTCTCCCCCTGCACCCCCAGGACAGCTCTGAGCACAGTCACCAGTGACCACCTTCTTCCTAAAGCCAGTGGGCTTTCAACCTTGCCCATGTGGTTCCCTGGCTAGAAACCCAACTATCATCTGGTCTGACACCCAGTCCTGTGGACCCACCTACTGCTATTTCTCACTCTGTCCTCTTCTCTCCAGCCCTGCTGCGGCCACTTTGCTGGGAGCTGGCACCACCTCTGATCGGGGTCATTGCAACGGCCTCAGCTCATCGCCTTGCTGACACCCATGTGCTTGTGAATCAGCTGGGAACTTGTTCCATGCAGATTCCGATTCTGTACTTCAGGTCAGGGCTGCTCAGGGGCCCAGTTTCAGATCACTGCCCAGTGAGACCAATGCTGCTGGCCCAGGGCACACATCGAGTAGCCAGGTTCTGAGCAGTCTTCCTGCCCACAGCTCCACCCATCCGCCACTGTGGTCAGAAAGGTCCTTTCCATGTGAAGCAGGGTCATGCTCCGTCTCTACATAAAAGCCCTCACACTCCCCACAGGTCTCAAGAGGAAGCACCTTCATGGGTTCATCCCATGGCCCTCCCCACCTCAAAGTGGCTGGTGCGTAGTTAACATCATCCCGTTCCACAGACGTGCCCTGGGCCATCCAGGAACCCCTCCGTACTGTTTTCTCTACCTGAAGCTTCACTCCTTCCCTCCACCTGGCCGACCTCTGTGTCCTTTTAGACATCGGCTGATCTCACCTCTTGGGGAAGCCTTTCCTGGACTTTCCACATCATCAGGTACCCTTCGTGTGTGTCCATTGTGGCGTTCAGCACAGAACATTATAGTGGCCATGTTACTTGTTTTCATTAAAAGCAGGCTGTGAGTTCCTTAGGAACAAGTTCTAGGCAGAACAGAACACTGTGGGCACTGGAAGGATCCTGTGGAGGTTTTAAGTAGAAATGAGAAAAGAATTGACACCCTCCCCACCAGACCCCCAGGACATCTCTCATCCTTGCCTTCATTCCTCCTCCCGTCAGACACCCAGCGTGGCGCTCCTTTCCCTGGAGACATGTAAAAGACAGTTTTAGCAGAACATAAAATGGCCCTTTTCCCTAATTAACAGGTGCAGGAGCTTCTTCTGCTACTGTGCCTGCAGGTTTCAGGCTCGACAGCTCAGAGCAATATCCATGATTGCAATAGATGCTGAATATAACAAATTACATCATTTCATACTAGTCACACTTAATCATGCTAAGCTTTCATTACAAAAGTGGACCATTGAGAAGTATTTCTAATAAAGGGGTATTAGATGCATGCAAAGTCTCTGTGCTTTCATTCATGTTTGTGTCATAGTCAATCAACCAACAAGTATTTTTTGAGCTCCTACTATGTGCTGGGGGGACGGCAGTGAGCAAAGAAGATCAGGCGTCTGATTTGTGAGGTACACATCATAGCTAGGGTGGGAGACAGAGTCACTTGATGACTGATTGTTCCTGGATGCCCAAGGCACCAGATCACCCATCCTGCCTGGGGGCTGGTGCTGCCACAGGGATGCCACTGCTCTGAGACCTTGTCACCCATGATCGCCCATGATGGCCCATGTGATTCCCCACCCCCTGTCAGTGGCAGCATCTCCTGCCCACAGAGATGATCAAGTACCTCTCAGGCCTCAGTGAAGGATGTACATCTTCAGGGCTTGTGGGGGTGGTAGTGAGGAGTGTGGGACATGTCATTCCTTGTGATAAAAGTACTGTAACAATTCAATCTGCCCAAGCCTTGGGATTCTGTGTGTGCAAATGACCACACTTAGCAGTACAAGGAGATGCACATTTGTCATCTCAATTCCTGCAGGTGTGAATCCTGGCACAGCATGGCTGGGTTCTCTGCTCCATGTCTCATAAGGTATAAGTCAAGGTACTGTCAGCGTTATTCTCATCTGAGGGATAGACTGGGGAAGGAGCCACTTAGGGTTGTTGGCAGAATCTTTTTCTTTTTGGCTGTTGAATTCACACAAGCTGGATTTAGAAAAGGCAAAGGAACCAGAGATCAAACTGCTAAAATACTTCTGCTTTATTGACTACGCCAAAGCATTTGACTGTGTGGATCACAACAAACTGGAAAATTCTTAAAGAGACAGGAATACCAGACCTCCTGACCTGCCTCCTGAGAAATCTGTATGCAGGTCAGGAAGCAACAGTTAGAACTGGACTTGGAACAACAGACTGGTTCCAAATTGGGAAAGGAGAATGCCAAAGCTATATGTTGTCACACTACTTATTTAACTTATATGCAGAGTACATCATGAGAAATGATGGACTGGATGAAGCACAAGCTGGAATCAAGATTGCTGGGGGAAATATCAGTAACTCAGATATGCAGATGACACCATCCTTATGGCAGAAAGTGAAGAAGAACTAAAGAGCCTCTTGATGAAAGTGAAAGAGGAGAGTGAAAAAGTTGGCTTAAAGCTCAACATTCAGAAAACTAAGATCATCGTATCTGGTCCCATCACTTCACGGCAAAGAGATGCGGAAACAATGGAAACAGTGTCAGACTTTATTTTTTGGGGCTCCAAAATCACTGCAGATGGTGACTGTAGCCATACTTGGTCCTTTGAAGAGAAGCTGTGACCAACCTAGATAGCATATTAAAAAGCAGAGACATTACTTTGCCAATAAAGATCTGTCTAGTCAAAGCTATGAATTTTCCAGTAGTCAACATATGGCTGTGAAAGTTGGACTATAAAGAAGGCTGAGCACAGAAGAACTGATGCTTTTGAACTGTGGTGTTGGAGAAGGCTCTTGAGAGTCCCTTGGACTGCAAGGAGATCAGTCCTGGGTATTCACTGGAAGGACGGATGCTGAAGCTGATACTCCAATACTTTGGCCACCTGATGCGGAGAACTGACTCATTGGAAAAGACCCTGATGCTGGGAAATATTGAAGGCAGGAGGGAAGGGGACGACAGAGGATGAGATGGCTGGATGGCATCACTGACTCAATGAACATGAGTTTGAGTAAGCTCTGGGAGTTAGTGGTGGACTGGGAGGCCTGGCATGCTGCAGTCCATGGGTTTGCAAAGAGTTGGACATGACTGAGTGGCTGAACTGAACTGTGGAATTCACAGCATCTTATTTTTTTCAAATCCAGCAATAGAGATGGCTGCTTTGAAATTGACTTGGGAAAGACCTGGACCCTTTGTTTTTTTTTTTTTTTAACAGCTATCACTTTATTATTTTCTCCTGAGGATTTTGTGGCTGCCTGGGCTTAGTGAGATGGTCCTCACTCAAGGTCAGTCATGCAGTTGTGGTCAGACTGCAACTGAGTGACAGTCCTCCTGGAGATGTCCTCAGGCTCATGTCTGATGGTCAGTGCTGGGGTATTGGCTGGGGTCCCTACACGTGACCTGTCCTATACCTGGATTTCTGCATGGTATGGAGGCTCAGTGAGTTCCAAGAGTAGTTGGACTCTCCTTTAAAGAGTTCACCTAATTAGACCAAGCCTGCTCAGGATCACCTCCATTTTGAAGAACTCAAAGCCAACTTATTAGCAACCTTAATTGTATCTGACACATCCCTCCTTTGAGAAAAACTGAATCTAATCCCAGGAGTGACATTCTACCATATTCACAAGTCTTCCCCCTAGAGGTGTGTACACCAGGAGGTGGAAATTTGAGGTACATCTTATTATTCTTCCTAGCATAGATGCAATCCTTCACAGCATCCCAGGGAAGTTTTGGCATCTCAACATTTTTAAATGTAGACCACCATTGAGTCCAGATTTCAGTCAAGCAAACAGGACATGGTTAGAGCCACTTTCACCTACAGGACAATGTGTGTGTGTGTGTGTGCATGTGCACTCTGTCGCTCAGTTGTGTCTGATTCTTTGTGACCCCATGGACTGCAGTGCATCAGGCTCCTGTGTTCATGGGATTCTCCAGGCAAGAATACTGGAGCAGGTTGCCATTTCCTGCTCCAGTGGATCTTCTCCACCCAGGGATTGAACCCAAGTCTCTTGCCTCTCCTGCCTTGGCAGGCAAATTCTTTCCTGCTGTACTCTCTGGGAAGCTTCTCCCAAATTCTGAACCCTGAACCCTCATCCCCATGGTGGAGGTCAGTGGAGGAGCCTCAGCATTCAGGCATTGCCATCCATAACATCTCTCTGTCTAGAACTCTTTTTCAAAATATATATATATATATTTCCATTTATTTTTATTAGTTGGAGGCTAATTACTTTACAATATTGTAATGGTTTTTGTCATACATTGACATGAATCAGCCATGGATTTACATGTATTCCCCATCCCGATCCTCCCTCCCACCTCCCTCTCTACCCGATCCCTCTGGGTCTTCCCAGTGCACCAGGCCCGAGCACTTGTCTCATGCATCCCACCTGGGCTGGTGATCTGTTTCACCCTAGATGATAGCTACACTGGGTCTGCATTGCTGCATGCTGGCTTTCTCTAGTTGTGGTGAGTGGGGGCTACTCTCTAGTTGCGATGTGTGGGCTTCTCATTGCGGTGGCTTCTCTTGTTGGGGAGCACAGGCTCTAGGGTGCATGGGCTTCAGTAGTTGCGGCTCACGGGCTTAGCTGCCTTGCAGCATGTGGGGTCTTTCCAAACCAGGAATCAATCCATAGCCCCTGCATCGAGAGGCGGCTTCCTAACCACTGGACCTCAGGGAAGCCCCCTGCCTAGAACTCTTAACCTGCTGAGTCCGTAACACATTCCCTGCCTTTCCTTGAAATTTCTCTGCTCCCTGGGGATCCAACTCAGCTCCTTGTGCAAGTTTTGAAGAAAATAACTCCCAGGAGAGCTAGAGAAGAAAAGTTCTACAAATCTCTCAGTTGCTTTTAAGAATTCCTGTCACGTTATTCAAAATGACATTCTGTCTGGGCCAAATGGCCTGCTGTCCGCGAAGAAAAATTAAATATTAAACATGAACTGTAGAGTTAAGTGATGATGGAAGGTGAGTAATGGGATCCACAAGCAGAACTCACGTCGTATTCAACCCAAACTGCAGAATAATTGCTCCTGTCGGAGCAGCGGCTTCAATTTAACCTCAGCTCCACTCAGCTCAGGGCCCTGGAAGGAACTCAGAATCAACTCTAGGACTGGAATTTTGAGAAACTTTGCTCCCTTCACTTTGGGGATTCTTAGTGCGAAGAAGAAAACAGATCTGATAGAAGGAGAAATAAGTGCCATCTTCAGAAATTACTTTGATGTTTAGAACTTGTATTGAGCGCTTAATTGAAGTTCATCCAAAACCAAAGTGAGAGAGGGTTTTTTTCCTCTGCATATTAAAAAAAAAAAAAAAGAAGAAGAAGAAAAAAAAAATCCAGAAGCCGCAAAG